AAATTGAGCAACATGCAATGTTGGACTTTATAATATACATGCCCACAGGAAGAAATATATGTACGATATCATCACCCATTACAAAAATACACATGGATTCCTTACTGTTTCAGAGCATAAAAATGCCTTTCACACAGGACTCTACAATAGGCAGAATTGATTTTAACGTACAAAGTTGCTTTGCTCTAGATTTAGAACAAAATCATGATGCAACTGTGCTACCTACATCTGTTTTAAAATGTTGACCAGCAGGAGAAGTGAAACAGAAGTTGGTGAATTATTCTGGGACTTAACAAGTGCTAAGTGCCATCTATAAACAATGGAAGCACTAATGTCAGTAGATAATCAGTGAAGCAGAAGAGCAGAGGTGGCTAGGCTGCAGAATAAGGAATGATGAGCAATTGTTTTTCCTTTTTTCTTTCTTGAACCATTCTAGTAATCAAGATGAGCACACCTATACCTATGACAAACCTGTTCTGACATGTTTTGTCTCCTTTCACAAAATTAAAAAAAGAATAGGTCCTCACGCAAGCATTCCAGATCTAAAAACAAATTTGAAAAAAAATTGCTACAACATGTTGAGTGATAGATTGCCAAGACAGCTACCGAGAAACTCCTTGATCCATTTTTGTGCTCAGAAAATTAGAAAGAGAAATATTCCTCTTCTATAATTAAAAATATTAAATGTTCACCATCTCCCTCATGCTCCCCTGTCTCTTCTCAAGAGGAGTACAACCCTGCTTTAATTTTATTGCTGTCAGCAAAACATTCCATTGATATGAAATGTCATGCTTTGTTCTCTCAATAATACTATTATATAATGGAGTGGGATTATATTAACTATATGCTGTTTGCTTTAAAATGATCAGGTTTAATCCTGGAAGGGACAACTTTATGATGGGGTGGAGGAGAAATGCAGAGGTATGAAAATCAGCTTGTCATCAATAGAAGGAAAAACTATAGCCAGCAGGTGAATGAAAGAACACTAAAGGGTGTGGTAAAGACACTAATAAATTAACTTTAAGGCAAGTGCGCGCTCACAAATGCATGCACGCACACACATATTCTTGGCTATTTCAAACCACAGAAGCATGACAGCTGTGAAAAAGGAGTGCCACAGGGAATTCTTTTAGAATTTTAATTTTGTTTTTAAAAAATAGATGTTTGACATGGAAAATGTTTTAGTATATATAAAACAACTGATATTGAACTTTCAAGGGAAGGGTTGTGGGGTGCTGCTCCTGTTTCTGCTGTATGGAACAGAGATGAATAATTCATAATATTTTAAAGAAAGAATGCCTTGGACATGTTTGGCAATGTGGCCTGTGCTTCTCTGTGTGTGCTCATTTTTTTCCTATTTAAAGCATCATTAATTCAACATCTCTCAGACTTCTTTTAAAAAAATAAAATAAAAATGTATGTTTATTGAGGAAACATTATTTAACTTTGATGAAGACATTCTATATTGAGATAATTTTGTCTAGCCTTGAGAGGAGATAAGCAGAATTATCTAACCATAAAGAGGAAAGAGGTTTATACTGTAAGATAACAACAGCAGCAGCAATCCACAGCAGCCTAAAAATCAACCTCATAGAAAGAGGGGAAATAAGATCAGATTTTATGAATGTTACTCCATAGGACATCAGCACAATGTAGGTTAGCAAAGGCATTGTAGCAGCGCTCCAGACGCAATCAGAAGCCAATTGTTAGTGGACTGTGTACAAGCTCATACTGTGCTCAATGGTCTGATGAGGTATTATGGAGATGATGCAGAGAAACCTTGCGGATTAGAACCTCACAATTTGTTTAAAAAGTGAAAGCAACTTAACACTTAAACTGAGCTTGTCTGAATGAGTGCTGTAATGCTTCAGGCAGTAAGCAGAAAGAGAGTGTTTATGAGGGTTGGGGAGGTTACCATGTATTTGAGAACTGATCTGGGGTGTATGCAGAGGGCTAAACTCTCCATTCTCTGCCTGTAAAGTTTGGAAAAAATCCTTCTACTCCACACCTATATGATTCCAATCAACATGCAGTGGGAAAAGAAGCTTGGTTATTATTATAAATGTAAAAAATGTGCAGAAGAGTAGCTTATTAAAACATAGCCTTAAGACAGAACATAACACCAACTTTAAATTAGAAGCAAAAGTGATACTCTATTAAAGCACAGTTATTGTGTAATTTATCAATCACTGTTTTTATTTATTTAGTGCAGATCACAGGTTTCGCACACATACAAGTCCAGCCTTGCAAGAACTTGATAAAGCAAATAGAGATGGTTATTATAGCCAATGCCCAGTGGTTGGTATAATCTAGCAAGATATTGGATAAGGGTAACTACTGTATATGGAAACAGGCACCTTCTTAATGGGCTTCCTAGCAACAATTCTATAAATAGTATAAACGCTTTGAATAATAACAGGATCCAAGATAAAAAATTCTGAGTAGTTTATGAAGCCTGTGTGTTTGTTTCTAATGCCTATTGTTTGTTTTAAAAAGTTAAAATGCTGATCACTGGATACCTACCTTATGTATTCTTTTGTTTATGCGATCCATATACATGGGGCTAAACTGAACTGTTTGTCTCGGCAAGAGAAGATCCACTGGATGGGATTTGTTACATCAGAATGTATCTAAGTCCCCTTGATTTAATGGGTTGGCTCTCATTAGGTCTAACAATTGCATTTAAATAATGGAATTTATATCGCAAGAAAAATATGACAAAACAGGGACTAATAATAAAGAAAAGGAAAGTTAAATATGGAGCAGTGAGAGAGATCAATATAACCAAATCTAATGAAGGGCTTAAATAAATGGAATATAGTTTCATAAAGTTGCGGTGACAGACAAATGTGTTATTTAGGTAGGGATTAGAGACGAGCATAAACCACACATTCATTTTATTGTGCACTGCCCAGAGTGACCTCATATTATCAGGTGGGTGATATAAAAGTATACAAAATACAGTAAATAATAAATTATCCGCTGAACAGATGTTTGGTGCTTCAAAGTCCAAACTCCTTTAGTGAGTGCCCACTCAGAGGCAGTGCCTGGAGGAGGCAGGGCAGGGAAGCCAGGCTGCTGCCTTTGTGTGCATGGTTCGTGCCCATCTCTAGCGAGATGGATACTCAGACAAGAACAAGAAAGCACAAAGAATTTGGACTGTTTTTTGTTTCTTTGTTTTTGAAGCTTAAGGGAGTGAGGGTACTTATAGGGAAACCTATAAGTGATTTGAGTACCTCTCTCACACATATTCACTCTGGTCTTAATGGGAGTTGTTAGTATAAATGTAACTTGTTAGTATAAATGTAAGGTACTGCTCCTCTCTTGGGAGTCATACGAGAAAGTTTGTCTGAGTTTACCAAATAGAGAATGTGACAATGATCCTGCAAGATTACATAATTAAATGTGGGTCCAGACATGTCTTTTCTTCAAGGCTGAATGAATACTTCGTCCTCTCTCTCCCTCTCCCTCTCCCTCTCTCCCAATTTCTCACCCACCCACTCCCACGTATCATCATTTATCTATCCTAGTACTAGGGCAGCAAGTCGAAGGAAGGAAGGAAGGAAGGAAGGAAGGAAGGAAGGAAGGAAGGAAGGAAGGAAGGTGTATGACTAGAGCGCAGACAGAAAGGGGGCTTAATTCAGGGAAGTTGTGACTCCTACATTCCTGGAAGTATCCTAAAAATCTCTGTCCTTTGCAAATGCCAGAAACGGGAAGGGAAGGGAAGGAAGGAAGGAAGGAAGTTAGCGGACCCAAGCACCAGGTGTGGGGAGAGGAGGATTCAAAAGGCAGCCAGTTTCCCTGCTGCCCTGCCTCTCTCACTGCCGCTGTAACTGGCTTCGAATAGAACAACTGCAACCCCTTTACATAGGATGCTATTTGAACTGATGTAAATGCATTCAGTTCCTAAAAAGTTGTAGCCCCAGCAGGAGAGGGGAAAAATACAGATCAGGGTAACAAAAATTCGGGATTGATGTGCATTGACTAAATCTTGTAGTCAACAGAAAATAAAGTAAATCAGACTGTTCCAATTCTGGATCATTTCCCACAGTATTTGTCAATGTTGTTGCATCCTTAGAAAAGAGCTTGAGTCTTGTCCTTCTGCCAAACTGTATGTTATCAATGGCATGTCATCGAAGGTGGAATTACCTTAGTATCCCAGAAACATGATTCCGGAAGACCTTTGTCTGTGTGAATTCCGACTTGCAAAGGAAGCAGTTTTTTACATCTAGATAGGGAAGAAAATTAATTTCCAAACAGCAAGACATGGGGACAGCTCCTGCTGTGACAATCAGATGCATTAGGTGCTTAACAAATTCTCTCCTTCAGTGATGTGCTCCGCTTGGTAGTTTGACCCCTTGTTTCTCAGGGAGAGGGTCAGAAGGATCCTGCTTTCTTTCTGATTTGATATCAAAATGAAATTGCTACCCCAATCCAAGCATCCTTGTGATCAGAGCTGAGGGTAAGGTAGGAATTTCTGGGATGGTTGAATTCAGAAGCTTTGCTTGATAAGTTGTCTGTATTTAAGAGTTCACTTCCATAAAAATAATTCAGAAGCACGCTATTCAACCTGGCTAACTTATGTTGACTCACCTCGTGTTGGCCCTAAACAGTGCTTCCAGAAGAACTTCCAAGTGTAATATATACTAAACACCTGATAATACTGGGGTTTTTTTGGACCCTGCTTCATGTCACATGTCACCTGAAATATTTCTGAATGTGCAGTTGTTTTTTGAAGGTTGCCATGTTGTATGATCTGTAACGAGAGGGAAGATGATTGGGTCCAAGCGTTGCAATTTATGTTTTGCCAGTTTGCCTACTAGCTATCTGCTAAGCAGAAGTTCCAAGAAAGAGTTGCAAGTCTGTGCCCAGCGATCCCTTGTTGTTTTTGCAGATGTTTAGGCTTAGAGCAGTGTGGTGGAGCTCGGGCCCTGTTCGTACTTGTCTGCTGCTATTCTCTGCTCATTGTCTAAACCTGCATGCATTGTTCTCCTTGACAGGTGATAACTATCCTGTGCAGTTCATTCCGTCAACAATGGCAGCAGCTGCTGCTGCTTCTGGACTCAGCCCTTTACAGCTCCAGGTAGGTGCCAGAACAAAAATTTGTGGGCTCGAAGCCAATGCTTTAGTGGAAAACTGCTAACCAGCTGTATGCTAAGTAATGACTTGAATGTTAAGTAATTTTTTAAGCACGGCCCCAAAAGGATTAACACCTTACATTCTAGCCGTGCTGCAAAACAGAACAGCATGCTGTCAGCCTTGATGCTGGGAAATGCAGCCAATTTTGTATTTGATATCAGTTTAAGTTAATAATTTTGAGCACAATCCAGCCTTTATTGAGCACTCCAACTCTTATTGATTTCATTGGAAGAGTTAAGCATGTGCTTGGCTTCTTGCTATTAAAATAGAAGGGGAGCGTCAAAAGTGCTTGATTTGGGCTGGATCATGCTGTGTGTGTGCGTGTGCGTACACATGTATGTGGATTTGTGTGCAGAGAGGACAGGGGAAACACATAGCTATTTACTGAAAGACCTGTCAAGAACATTGTATTTGTATTAAAGTTTCCTCCAAGTGGGTCCTGTTTAGCTTTTTTCTTGCTCGTAGTGGATATCTGAATAAAAGTATTTCATCCTTTCTTTTGGACTTGGTAATGAGTGTTTCATAAACGGTACACTTGCAGCTTCTGTATTTATGGAATCTCAGTCTTTCCATGCGTTAAGTTGGTTGGATGCCAGCAGCCATCAGGAGCCTGAGTCTGGTCCCTTGCTAGGTCATTTATTTATTTTTGTCATAGGGGGAACTAAATGTTGTGTGAAAATGATTTACACTCCAATTTATTATATAGCTTTTTAATATTCCCCAAGACAAGGCACAATAGTGTCAAATAATGAAGTAGCAGTCAAAAGCTTATAAAGGGGGTGTGTTTAGTAATCACACTAGAGATTTACTTCTTGGTCATTTAAATGAGGTGGCTAATACATCTTGTAACTGTTTGCAACCCAGAAGAGCAGTAGCTTATAGTATAGTGTTAGGTCAGCAGTGGCAAAAAGTGTTGAAGTACACAGGAGGTAAATAGACTTATTTGAACATTAGCTTTTATATCACAATGAATCAGTCAGTTTGCACAGTTTGGTAGGTTTCTGATTAGGTAGTTGTTCTTCAGGTTGTGCCACATGGGGTTGTGCCAATGGTGGCCAACTCAACAGGATACTTTGTAGTGAATACTTTAACTGTAGTGCTCAGAGTTTAAGGCCCCTTTCCCTTCTTGGCCATAAATGTAATACAAATAAGAACTAAAATAGGTGAACTGAAGGCCCATTTATCTCTATGCCAATCTGTTTTGGATTGCAGGAGAAGGCTAAACATATGCATGGATTCTTCCATAACAACCCACCTCCTTCAGTTGAAAGTGAGGATACAACAAATCACACTGACTATCCACTTGTCTGTTTTAGGGATCGGGCTATGGTGTTACATAGTAAAATAAGCACTTTTCCCTCTTCTGCTTTCTCACCCCTCATCATGCCAGGTGTTTCAAACAAAAAAGTCTACAGTGGAAAAGGCATCCCCTCAAGGCAAGGAAGGCTTTAGTGGTCTTAGATGGGTCTTACAAACAGCTGGACAGAAATACATTGACAGAGTGCTAGGTTGTGTCCTTTGGGGTACTGGTTTTATTTCTGGCTGTGTGGACTTTCAAGAGATGGATGATAGATAGTCAAAGGCTGGGCCCCAAAGTACTATTAGAGAAGTGTCATGTTGATCCTGATGGACTAGAATATGTGTAGAATTCAGTGCAGTCCACAAGGAGGCTGGTTTTTAGTGCTCCTTTACCTGGCAGTTATTGCTTGTCTCCTCCATTTAGTGACTACTATCAGGGCCTTTCTGTTTGATTAGATAATCTAAATCCTTTGAGTTCTGAGGAACTGGAAAACTCTGATAGGAAATCTAAGTAATTCTACTAAAGGTGATTTTTGTCCCATGGCTGTTTGCATGAGCATAAAAGATGTATGGAGCTAAACTCTTGACCCTATGTTATGCTCCACATTTGATAGACCATATCCTCTACTAGTGGCGATTGCACAGCTCACCTGCATGGAGGAGGAATCTTCTCTTCGTTGGGTAGATTGTCCTCGAAGCCCCTGGAAACAGAACACTGAGGAGATGCCACTGATGGGACTTGGAAAGTCTTGTTACATAGGTTCAGATAATCATGATTTTTATTGAAATACTGGTTCTGGTTCCATCTTCGTTGCTGGTAAAAAAGAGATTATACTAAGATTTCTTACAGTTCCCATTGCGTTTGTAATTATTAGCCAGAATTCTGTTGGCGTTCATGTAAAGTTTGTATTTACTTGCTGCAGCTGATTGTGGCTAATTGAAGACATGCTGAGACATATCTCAGTTGTGCAGTTGGACATGTGAGCAGGCAGATGACTGATGCAGGCCCTGCCACCTAGCCAATTAGCTGCAGTGACATACAGCATGCTAAGCAACCCTTACACAAAAACGTATAGGATCCTGACCTTTATTTTGAAAATAAGGTATTAATGGTTTTATATATCAAATAGTATCCCTATTAATGTCTTGAAAGAACCAAAGCAAGCTTCAGTAAAAATGCCTGCATTTCTCCCTAATAGTCTTCTTTTGTCTTGGAACGAAAGGAACTGTTTCCTCATTTCCCCACCCCATTTCTGGATCATAATTGGGCATTTTACGTTCCTACAAAACAGGTAGATGAGACTGCCAGTGAGATCCCTGGCCCATTTGCTGACTTGTTTTATTAGTGAGACCACATCCTGGGTAATTTAGAGATTATTTCTTCTTCTTCATGTCCTCGGTGAATGCACACAAATGGGTTGTTCTGTATATGCGCAGGACATCTCAAAAGTTTCTAGAGCGTAAAGACATGTGATTAGTAGGACATTCCCCCATGGAGCACATGCTCCACCCTCCAAAAGTCCTCTCAGTTCCTTTTTGTCACCGCTTCGGTTGGAATTCTTTCAGAACATTAGAGCGATTACTGAGATCAATCCCTTAAACCAATTTGGCTATTTTCAATTATCTATTCCCTATTTTCTATCATCTCTTTTATTGAATGTTCCCCTGTAAGTTATCCGCTTCTCTTTTTTTCTTTTATCTACTCCATTCATTTTCTCTTCTTCCCAATGTTTTCTCTCTCCCACCACCACCTTTCCCTTCCCTTTCCCCCTACCTTTTATGGCCCCCTAGGGCCCTTCAAGCGGTACATACTTTGCATGAATAAGATCCCGCTTACCGACAGTCACAACCGTTGCCTTTTCTGCTTAGGAGAACAACACCAAACACATTCCTGCTCCGAGTGCAAAAAACCTACTAAGCCTGCTTTAAAACTACGCCTATAAAGGCTTCACTCCTACCTTTGGGAAAGGTCTATTAATCTGACCTCCATGGATCTGGCAACGTCTCCAATTCCACATCCAGAACATTGAGAAACCTCTCGTCCGATATTGAGCCCGACAACTCTGACAAAAGTCTGCTTTGAAGTCAAGCTTGACCTCCATGTCGAAAGCTCCAACCCGTCCCGATGACTCATCTAAGAGAAAGAAAGATAAAACTAAACCTAAGAAAACTAAGAAGCCTACAAAATCAACTCAAATAGATCCACCTCAAATAGTGCACTCAAACAGATCTCATCACCCATCCTCGAGGAGTCATCTAGGGATGCCCCGGTTCAATCTCGAAAGCCATTGACCCAGAGGTTATATCATCACCTATCCTCGAGGAGTCATCTAGGGATGCCCCTGGTTCGATCTCGAAAGCCATTGACCCAGAGGTTATACCAAAACAAATGGAAATCATTCCCCTCCTTTGGTCATTCTCAGAACTTACCCACAACTCCAGTTTTGCTGAAGACTTTACTTACCTTTATCCTCCATCTCTTTCATCTTAGTCTCTCTCATTCTACCTCAAGGTGTAAATTTCTGCAATTATAGCTCATCAACCTTCTCAGTCTGACTCAGCTAGGCTTTTCTCTCACCCAATGCTGAAGAAATTTCTCAAGGGACTCTCAATATCTGTCCACCACATCAATATCCTCTTCCTCAATGGTCTTTGCAATTTGTCCTTAACATACAGTACTTACCCGACTGCCTTTCGAACCAATGGCTACCACTACTTTCAAATTACTTTCTTTAAAAACATTGTTCCTTGTAGTAATAACATCTGCTAAACGTGCCAGCAAACTTGCAGCCCTCAGATCAGACCCACCTTTCCTTCAGTTTCATCCAGATAAGGTTACTCTCTATTTTGATGTATTATTTTAACCTAAAATTATCTCTGATTTTCATCTCAATCAACCATTGAGTCTACCAACTTTATTTCCATCTCCTTCTACACCTCTCGAGCACATGCTCCACATGCTTGATGTAAGACGCTCTTTGGCCTTCTACATCAATAGAACTAAATAATTCAAAAAGTCTCCAAGGCTCTTCTTATGTTTTCATGGTCCTCATAAGGGTGCCCCAACTTTACGTCAAACTATCTCTCACTGGATTGTTCAAGCTATTTGATTGGCCTATGAGCTCACAGGCAAGACACCTCCTGAATATTTAAGAGCTCATTCTACCAGAGCGCTGTCAACCTCTACTGCCTTCCACCGTGGAATAGAGCTTCCTCACATCTGCCGTGTAGCTACATGGTCTAATCCATCAACTTTTGTGAGGCACTACCATCTGGATGTCCGTGTGAAGAATGGTGCTGCTTTTGGCAGAGCAGTCTTGACATCTTTTCTGCCGTGACGTCCCACCATCCAGTAAGTGAGCTTGTCAGTCACCCATTTGTGTGCATTCACAGAGGCTATGGAGAAGAAAGAGAAGTTACCAGCCTGTAACCATGGTTCTTCTAGTGGTCCTCTGTGAATCCATACATCCCACCCACCCTCCCCTCTGTCACATTATCTTTTATATAAGCCTTTGACAGCAGTGGACTCTTACAGGAACTGAAGGGACTTTTGGAGGGTGGACCATGCACTCCGCAGGGGAACGTCCTACTAATCACATGTCTTTAAGCTCTAGAAACTTCCGAGACATCCTGCACAGGCGCAGA